TTTAATTTAATAACCTCCTTTCTTGAGTATCGTAATATTATTCCTGTCTAGACCTGTTCGTTGCTTAGGTATCGGCCGATAGCGAAACATATCGAAAGTTACCGACCGGTCTTCGGCGGAAAGGAAGATCACGCCATGACAGTTCTCTCACGAAATTGGAAGTGATAAGACGTGTTGAGGGCGTCCTCCTGTACGGGTAGTTCATAGATACTTAAGTACTTACACGCAGTTTACCTATTCACCTATTTTGCATAAATTATAAAGTTCGATCATTTGTTAATCATAACTTTATTGCTGCTGGTTAAATTTTATTTACATAAATTTGTATTTCTTATTTATTACAGATATTTTCTTCATACATACTGCAAAGATGCCATGCGATACCGTGCTATGACACTTGACACTGTTTTGAAACACAATTTCGTAAAGAATTGGTAACGTTTTGACTTATTGTAATCAATTAGTAATATTTATTATAACCTTTTTATTATTGAGTCGTTGTTAATTGGAAGCATTTTTGATAATTAATTGGTATCAAGATCAAGGAAGAAAAGATTACAAACCATTAATAACAGTATTTCCTTTACGAACATTCAATAGTAAGAATGTTGTTTCGTATATTTCCACCCAGCCATCCCTGCTCACTAAGTTTTTCTTTCAGGAATTGTTGTGGCCGCGCGCAATGCGGTCGGTAGAGTCAGTGTTTGTACGTACATACTTTCAATGTTTTGATTTTTTCAAGGGTGAACTGGCCCTGAATAGAGTTACGCTTGTACAATTAGGAATCACGCGAAAGTAGAGTCAGTGTTTGCTGTGTATTGTAAAATATTTTCTAGAGCATCGCGGCTCTGATTTTTCTTTTTTCATCGCGGAAGTAGCGTTTTTACAATTGTCCGACGGAAATTATTCATGATCGCGTTACAAGTACTTGATTTTTATATCCGAATATATCCTGTGTTAGAGTCAGTGCATCACTGAAGAGGAGTTTTGGACAATGCTCGATAAGGAAAGAGTGTAAGTATCTTATTACTCTCCTCAATTGTTTTTAATTAAAGTAGAATAATTTACAATTTCAACGCTTGATAATTTAGAAATCCTTTTAATTGCTAATATTTTATAAAATCCAAATTCATATATAATTTTATTAAAATAAAAACTGATAATTTTCAAAATTAACCATAAGACTTTTGTGTTTAGTTACAGATGAATTCCTGGGTTTTGACGAGTTTCTGGACATCCCTGATGACTTCCTTCCCGACTTCCTTCACGACTTCCGTCTTCTCCTATAAGGCAACCTCCTACCTGGTTGTTGTGCATCCTCCTACTTGACTGTCGGAAGAAGCTTTTTTCTGCGATCGGTAAGTCGCATGCTTTATGGTTCCTCCGGTGCCCAATCATGTCGTAGGATGAATGGTCCGAATCGACATGGGTTACTGGTTGTATACGTAGTTAGCGAGCACAGTGACCATGGGTATAATTATACTCATGAGTAGTAATATTTTTATTGTGTTTCATTTCATTTAGTTTAGGCTAGGTTTTCTTGTACTTTGCTTTTGAATATCTTTATAAATCTATATATTCATCTATATGTTCATATTACAGTTCTGAAATAAAACTTGGAATATGAAATATTTTAATATAGGAACAATTTTATTTAGTTTTTCTCTAATGGAGAAGTTAAATACCATCTGATTTAGTTATTGCAAAGATTCAAATCGATATAATATTGATAATATTATATAATATGTATACTGGATATACATTTTAATGATGCTTTTACATTGATTTAATTACATTTTATACATTGTAAATTCAAATATACTTTGAAAAGTTTTTACAAGTAGTAAAGTTTCATTCATTCTATAGCGAAGTTTAACTTATTTACATATTCATGCAAAATTAAACAATTTATGTGCAAGAAGACAATTCGCGACGGGTAGATTTCCAAGCCAGAGCGATCTACTTGAACACCTTTTGCGTATTCTTGAAAATGTACTCTGAGGAGGTAGTCGCCCGAGGATGTTGTAATCTTTCTTTTTCTATTTTTCAGAGTAAATTCTTTTTTCATTCGAAAGAATTGTTGATTAGAGTCATTTTGGTTTCAATGAAGTATCAAGTTCAATTTTCAGATTAAATTTTCTTTATGGCACAGAGTTTTTAATTAGAGTCCTTTTCTATTCAATAAATTAATTTTAATTAAAACCTTGATATTTACAAAGTCGAGTCAATTTTATTATCAAACAATTGAAAATAGTGAAATATTAGCCCGTTAGATATTTTTATATTAATCATATTTTTAGTTGAGGATTTTCAGGTTTAACCCTTTCCGTGTTTATTGCCAAAGCCCATTCACGTGCCCAGGTGCTACTTGGATGGGTGGAGGCAATCGGCACCATAACCTAGTTAATAAGAATAACTAATAAGCGGCTGGCATCGTATTAGTATATCGTGCACGACGTAATTTTCACATGTGTGTGTGTGTGTTGTTAGGCTGTGGGATTGCGTCGGTTTAATAACTTTTTCACTTAACTTTTAATTGAAATAATATTTTATTGAACAAGATGTACGACAAACGTACAAATCAAATACTATTATTACCATTACAATATTACCATATTACTATTACCATTATCATTACCATTACTTTATTACCATTACTATTAAATCCTTTATATCAAAGTAGTTAAATAAATTCTATAATTATAATTATGCGCAATGGTTGCTAGCCTTGCCAGACGATTTCAGTGAAAAATGGTACGTACCTTAGAGTGTGTTGTGAGATGAAACTCGGGTGACGGAGGCGTCCCGGGACGTTCTCCCTAGTTTAGGCTCTTGCACCCGGGTAGAGAGTTTGAAAATCGTGGAATGACTTTTTGTGAGATTGAGACTTTGCCTTTTTTAAATATAGGGTTAGGTAGGTAGGTAGCTTACCTTCTGGTGTGTGTGATAGATTGTAAGTAGGTAGGGCCGGGGCAGGTTGTCACAGTCTCTTGGTCGGGTAGGCGCGATTTCGCGTGATCAACCTGTACCTGGAATATATTTGAAGAATTGACGATACAATCGATGCGAATGGAGTATACCGTTCGCCTTCGATTCTATCTGTACAATTTTTCAAATTTCTTGCGACTTTCTAAGTCGTCATACGAGCTTTAGATATAAGTTTCAGGTGGGTGGACCGCCCGAAGAAAGAAAAGGCTATATGCCGAAGAGCCCCGGCAAATGCCATTGAAAAGGGGAACTACTAATGACTTTGCATCCTTTTACAAAAAAGGATGGGAAATCATTATCTTTACTACTTTGTCACTGTGCTCGCTTGTAGTTGTAATTTTGTAATTTCAGGAGTAGAGGGGGCCCGTGACCCCCATGATTTTGGGCAAATCGCGTTTTCAATTTAGTGTTGCGAATGAATATTGACCCCGGTTCAGTTTAGTGTTACGTGTGCATGATTATCATGGTTTTCATTTAGCGTTGCGATCTTTAAATATCGCGTTCCGTTCTTGCATTGCTTTAAGATAGAATTTTGTTTTTTAATGTTGATTGCTTTAGTGTTACGAGTAAACAATTCACGGTTTGTTTTAGAAATACTTGCTTCTTATTTTAATTACATTTCAGTTAAAGATAGCGTTGCGAATGACATCAGCGGAATTGTTTCCCCAGTGTTGCGATTTATAAACACGCGATTGCTTTGATTTACTTTATAGAGTTCTTTAGTAATCAGTCTTGCGATAATAAATATTCGCGTTTTGCATTAGTGTTGCGATATAGGATGAAATGCCCAAAAACTATCCGGTGGAGCTGCCATGGATCAGGAGGCAGCTATGTACGAGCTGCCAAAGTACAGCCTTGGATTGGCTGTACTAGTACTTTAGATTAGTGTTGCGTTTTACAAAATTCGGTAGATTTGAGTAGTGTTGCGAAAAATACGGTTCGCGTTTTTCATTAGAGGTCTTCTTTTTTTCAGGTTCATTAAATTAGTGTTGCGTATAACGGAGCAGCCTGCTCTCGGTAGTTTTTGCATTTTATAATTAATGAAATTAGTGTTGCGAATGAATTCGCGATTATTATTGAATTTTTCACTGTTTTGCATTTATTAAATTAGTATTGCGTGTAATTTCGGGAGTTTTGTTTTATAGAGTTTGCTAGGGATTGCTCTTATGGGCAATCAAACTTTTCTTTTCAGCTTCTCCTGCCGCTTCATGCATTTTCTTCTTTCTTTTTTTTTACATTTTTTACATTTTGATCTTTCGGTTTTTGCAAATGCTGTTAAATAATACATGCATTTAATGTCTTTAGGATATTATTAAATACGATGAAGTTTTAAATAGAACTTTATTGAAAGTTTTATTTAAAATCAAACTTAATTTCATTTTATAATGATTGGTCGGAATCTATAAATTTATAGCGTGTATTCATTTAGGCCTCTTTTGACTTTTATATAGGCAGATTGCAAGTTTATGGTTATGTAAAACTATTATATTCTAATGACTATAAAGTCAGATAATTGAAAAAGTATATATAATAATTAACTGGAGTGTTTAATTAAGTAGTTTTAGATTTAAGTGAACTTTTGATATTATTAGGGAAGCTCGTATAGGCAGGTATCCTTAATATTTACAAGTAGGTAGAATAAATGTGGAATTGCATACTATTAATTGCGGATCTGAAACTAGAATCAAGAAAGTTGAGGAAGGGTTAAAAAAGTAAAATATAAATAAATAGGCAGTGAATAAAAATAATGCTTCTTTTGTTGTTCATTTGCATAACAATCGAAGACGTTTTGTAAATGTGCATCAATAAGATGGTATTACTGAATGAAGATATAAATTTGCATAAATGATTTTGACGTCTGTGTGTATTAAGAAGTTGTTTCTTTCATCGACATCATTGATCAATTGAAATTAACAACTTTGATTCATAAGTGAAATGATGTTTTCAAACGACTTCGAATACTCATTCAGAAATCAAGTTTTTGATATCGATTAATTCGACTGACACGAGAATAAGATTATCACAGGAGATGTTATATTCAAAGACATTTTTGACACAAGGATAATATGGAACACACACGACCGAACGGTTACAATTTGAACGTGGACGATTCGACAATTTTTCAAATTTTCATATCCTTTTGCACGTTGTAAACATGTTTGGCCGATGTTTGGAACAATTTCTTTTCGTGCTCTGTGATACGCATTCGTACGATATTTGTGACCCCTTGCTCGCCTATGGAACAGGGCAGGGATAAGAACATTTCGTGACACACCTCGTGGTGACCCTGCAGGCAAAGGGATAACGGGTAAAGTCTTCGAGAAATGAAATTCCTATCACATAGATTTATAAAAGTAACACCGATGCTTCGTACTTGGATCATGGTTGAAACTGGCATAACCCTCTGTGTATTGCTCAATATAGCATCCACAATATTGGCTGTCGAAAGACCGATCGCTGTATTCGAGTATCCTTTCAAACATCTCACTGTAGGACCTCTGAAAAATTATCAGAGAAACTTGTTTTATTACCCGTCTGTTTAGACTCGATCGAACTCACAGTCTGACTACTTCTTTGGCGATTTCGTTCCATCTTTCCTCGTCGGTTTCCAGTCCAATGTTAGGCAGAATGTCGCGAAATTGCACCCCCGCGACATTCACTCCGGACCAGAGTGGAACTAGGAAACGCGTATTATTTAAGCAGCAATTTGCTTTTTTATAAAATGTAAGAGGAAAATAGATGATCAAACTCACCCTGACTGTCACCGTGTTCGCCCACGATGTAAGCGTGGATCGCACTGGGGGCTATTTCTAAACGTTCGGCGATCAAGAATCGAAATCTCGCTGAATCGAGATGAGTTCCACTTCCGATAATTCGATTGGCCGGTAATCCGCTCACTTTCCACGTGACCCACGACAAAATGTCAACTGAAAGTAAGAGTTCCGTTTCGACTGGTTGCTCGATCATTCTCGTCCGTTTAATGAGCTTTTTACTCGAATTCAACGTGGTAACTTAACCTGGATTACTGACGATTAAAAATACAGCGTTCGGACTGTAACCGACCAGGGTGGGTATTATGTTCTTCAATATCTCAGTGTTTCGTTTCACCAAGTCTAATCGAGATTCACCTTTTACTTGTCGCACACCCGCGGCCAGGATCACCACCCTTGAATTGCTCGAGATACAAAAGTCTGAAACAGAATTCTGCTCGTTTTTATAGCTATAGGGTTTTCCAATAATAGGTAATTGTAGTCGATCAAAAAATTCTGAGTTTAAAGTCTTTTAGCAAATTGAAATTTTTATAAATTTTCTGATGAAATCGTTTCTAAAATAAATTTTATTACCTGTATCGTAATCGATGCGTGGATCTCCTAAATATACGGAACCGTGGCTGTAATCCATTCCCTCTCCTTCGAGTTTCTTTGGGAATGCATCTACTATAGCGACATGCGGGGAAATTCTCTATGACGAATCAATGGAATAATTTAAAATTAACATCTCGCAATACGTTCTTGAGTTTCTGGTATATCCCAAATTTCATTTGAGTTTAAAGAAAAAAAGTTGCGCGATATTCGAATGGGCTGAATATGACTTGAATTCGTAAGCGTATAATTTTTTAATTAGTGGATTCCTGAGTTTAAAATTAGAATTTTTGTGTCCCCCAAAGTAAAGTTCAGTCCTCGAATGTCCCATGTTTGATTACCGTTCCAAGGCTGACGAAGAGCGTCGGATGTGCATACCTGAAAGATAATCGAATTCGCGATGGCCACGCCGACCATACCAGCCCCCACGATCGTCACTTTGTGACAGCAGTCTCTCACCGGCTCCGAATATTTGCACAGCAATTCTTCCTTCAGACAGGGTGGTCTAAAAGAGCCCACAAAGCTTATTTACAATCTTACGAACGTTATTTGTGTTCGAATGATATTAACGAAAAAGAAACAGTTTAGTCGTCTTCGTAAGAAAAAGTTATCGCTTTGGTCGGACTTAGCATTGAATCGGTATCAAAAATCGAGTAATCAGCGTACAATGACCTCGTGTTTGATGATTGACATCAAAAATGTAGAAAAGAGGTCGCTTACACGAAACTGACCGCTCTCTGTAAATCAGATCCAGCGGAGGCATCTTTGCCAAAATCAGCGGACATGAATTTCTTCTTCTCTTTGTTACCACCGAAGATTTCCTTGAGAATCGTTGGCGGTAAAGTACGACGAAATCGGTTCATGCCGATGAATCTCCTCGTTACCAAACCTGTTGTATGTCTTATACATATCCGTAGCGAGGAGGAACTGGACCATATATACGACAAAACCATTGCTTCTCTCACTGTATGATTTTGTTTGCGAAAAATGTCACATCGCACGGAATTGATTGAAACTTGACAGTACGGAAGACGTTGACGATCATAACGCTTTTAGTAAACCGCCATTGTGTCGATTTGCCAATTGTTAAACAATCCATGGTTACAGATGTTCGATCGAATCGAACGTTATCACGTCACTTTCATTCGGTACATCAACAGAGGGTTCAGAAATAACAAAATGATCACATAAAATTATTATTTATTAAAATATTGTTATAAATATACAAGAAATATTGTAAGAAGAATATCTTCGGCAATGGGACAACCACAGAACGTTTTTTTCTATCTATGATACATATCTATCATGCGTGTATCATACATAGAAGTATGATGCAGGTATTGTCCCGAGGTAGATGTTAAATATTACAATATAAGCCTGATGCTATGGAAACGTACAATAATTTAAATTTACACGGTGTTGAATTCCGATCGAGTACACGCTTAACGAATTTGCATACATTCCCTTTGTACTAGCACAGGCTGACCGGTTTAAGTATCTTGTTTTGTATTAAATTAAACAGTCATTTACGCAATATATAAATTGCCCTAAAATACTGTTTTGCTTGACTGCAAGCAACACAGCTTGTCACAATCACCTAAAACATCAACAGTACACAACAATAGCACCTTGTGCCAACGCGAACACACACATATCATTCAAAATTATCAAACGAGCTACGAAGCTCTGATATTTCTATCCGACACGTATTTAAATATATATTAAGTATTAACCAAACAACCTTAGGTATTCGTAGTATACAAATAATAGTACGTGTAAGTAGTAAAAAAAGATGTAAGTAGAAACGAAAGGTGTTTGTTAGAAACCACAGTCTTTGTGCTCGAACAAAAAACTGATGTATATGAGAAAAAAGATGAACGCGGTTCTGTTGCTGTTTAGTGAGAAAAATAGTTGCTCCAATATTGAGGATAGTCAAAGAAACGAAACATTTAGAATTTCAAGTCCTTCTGAACGTCGTTCATGGCGTTCGCTGAACTCAGCAAATTGCCAAGTTCGTCTTGCGTCAATTTTTGTTGGACAACGCAGGTGACACCACCTTCGCCCAATGTGCATGGCAGAGACAGGAATACTTCTTTGTCGATTCCGTGGTATCCCTGAAAAATAATAAAACGAACGTTAGTTGTACAATTACCACATTCGTTGCTATGAATTTTAGACATATCTACAGTAGATTCTCGTTATATTAAACCCCTGGCTGTAAAAGTGGGAAATTTTCCAAACTTCTAAGCTTTCATTTGGAAGGGGGAGGGGAGATAGAAGTGTGTTATCTTCGTAGCCTAGGACGTAGACTAGGTTCCGGTGTAATATTAGATCCCGGAACCTCCTTTCAACGCCCGAATAGGTCGTCGCGGGGTTTTAGACAGTAGGAGTCCAACATTCCCCCAAGGGATGGTTGGGGCTCTTATGCAAGATTTTCCCACGTTAAAGAAAAGATGGTACAGGAACGGTACTAGTATCTTGAAAATTCATATGAAGGTCAAATCGCTTACGTGGCAATATGACGAGAGTCTACTGTATCCTTAAGGCGTGGGCTGTAATCAGTAACTTATCACTACGGATATGTACTATCGCTATGAATGCTCAGGTATCTTTGTACCTTTGCCTCCAATATTCGAATAAAGAATCAGCTACGTATCAGAACTTACTTTAATCATGGTAGATACTGCATGGACTTGGTTAGAATTTCTCAACATAGCAGAGGCTAAGTTCGCCACGCTGAGACCGATAGCCCAGGATGTGTAACCCTTTAGTTTGATCACCTCATAGGCACTGTCTACGACTTGTCTATGCAAATCGCTCCAATGCTCTTCGTCTTCTTCGGTTCCAACTTTCTCGTTCAGATCGCGCAGCCTTACACCAGCTACGTTCACTCCCGACCATACCGGCACTGAAAACAGACATCATTTAATTAAAAACTAGATCCAAATCTTTTCTCCTCTATTCCTTACTGATAACTGCAAAATCTAAGTTAACTCATGATTCAATCAGCAAATTCGTTTCAATCAGTGTTAGAATCTTACGATCGGTCTTATCGTAGATAACTTATCGATCAACGTGCAGAAACGTTTGATTACCTTTCGAAAGGTTTCATTAAAAACGTTTCAACTTACCGCTGGTATCGCCGTGTTCACCAATGATCCATCCGTGGCAAGATGTAGGTGCTACGTTTAATTTTTGCGATAAGAGGAAACGGAATCGGGCCGAATCCAAATTGGTACCGCTTCCAATCACACGGTTCTTTGGCAAGCCAGACAATCTCCATGCCACGTAGGTCAAAATGTCGACCGGGTTCGAGACAATCAGGAGGATCGTGTTCGGGCTATATTTGACTAGCTGAGGAATGATGCCTTTGAAGATGTCTGTGTTACGTTGAACCAGGTCCAGCCTAGTCTCGCCTTCTCTTTGACGGGCACCGGCAGTCACGATACACAAGCTCGAGTTAGCCGTCGAGGCGTAATCAGTGCTGGCGTTAATTTTTGCGTTCTTCAAGAACGCACTACCGTGTTGCAAATCCAACATTTCACCTTTTAGCTTGTCTGCCATTACGTCCACGAGGGCGACCTCGCTGGATACGTTCTGCAATAACAGAAAATTATTCAGTAGACGATTACAAATGATTGATTTAATTCGAATGTCACAATAGGTGAAGGTAATATCGGTTTTACATTTGTCAGAAGTGTGAAAGCACAGGCCATTCCTACTTGACCAACACCGACCACGGTGATCTTGTTCCTTCCGGTGGAAATCGGCTGCACCACTGTGCTCAATAATCTTGCCTTTATGGAAGTCATTTTCCTGAAAAAATGAAAATTTATTTCCATTAATTTTTTGCTCGGGTCCGATGTGCCTGGGAGAATATTTGTACCTAGCTGTAGTCTAAGGGTCAGAGATCAAAATATTATAACAAATTGCTAGGATTGCCTCGAATGATTAATATTAATTTAGTGATAGTTATGTGAATGACTAAATAGTCTCTCCTAGCGTTAGGTGGGTGTAGCATAGACGAATATATTATAGTGACTGTTCGAAGGTCGAAAAGGTCACGGAGGTCATCCACCCCGTATATTTATACGCGTGTAACAATATACTTTTCCGAACGACACCGAATTTTCTATTTTGGTAAACGAACAATTCGCGGTTCGAATAAGTGATTGAAAATAAAAAAGGAAGTTACTTTAAACAATTTTCTTCTGATTTTTTAAAGTCAGCCATTCTTCGCGGAAAATTTTTCGCAATCAGAATTTAAAAGCGGAAAAGTCTTCCTGATTTATTGAATTGTTATCAACTTGTTTACTATGTTCAGCGTGCGTGAATGAAATTATTGATACGAAAAGCCGAGTAACGGCGGTACTCGCGAGATGCCACTAGCTATACGAGAAACACGTGCACCTGAGTGTACCGGTATTCGTAGAATGCTTACAAAAACGAATTCGTGGTATAGTAACTTCGAAAAAATTACTTTGAATCTAGTGAATATTAACCAAACGTTTCACAGACATATTTTTTATATTCATCACTCGTATTAACACTCTGGAAACGCGAAGCAGTAACAACCGACCGAGCAACACTAATTGACTGACATTTGCCAATTGTTACGTTTTGACCCCGTTTTCATGGAAGTAACATCCCGTATATCGTGTAGAAACGTTCTACCGAATCCAGCGTCAAATATAGAAACCGCGTTTCGCTCGAATTTTCACGAATAAACCGAAACTGCGTCGAATAAAATTACATATTGTATTCACCAACCTTGTTTGCTTTTTTTTAAACAAATTCAACGAATAACACGAAATGTATAACTGCAGCTACGTTCGTTCGTCTGACTGGTCTGACAGCTCGAAGACTTCTGTCTACTAAGGTGACCTTGTCCCCACTTTTTATACCCTCCCATAGGCTCTGGAGCGGGCTCGCGGCGTGTTCGAGCTGACGAAACAAAGCCACGCCGCCGACACCCAAATTTTTCTTAACTTCCCGTGTTCTTTTTTTTCCAGCGAGTTTTCACGCGTGTCGCTTATCCGATGATTTTTCGCGTTCGGTAATTTTGATATTTACCTGCGACTGACTGCGATCACGTAGGTGAAATTATTTAGAAACGAAAGTGACGTTGCGCACGCGTCGCATGACGCAACCATTTCCCTTCCGTGAACGCGTTCATCGATCCGGCAGATGCTTTCTTCTCGATCCACCGTTGGCCCGCCAATAAAAATCAACCTCTGCAGGATGTATGTCGTTTTCAGGGGGGACTAAAAATATATTTCTACGAGGGTCCCGAGAAAGGCATCTCTGGATCTGATTTTATTTTATTATCGTGAAATGCGCTTGGTTTAATGCGGCTCCCTCTTTGTTTCTTTTTAATCCATTTGACTACCGTTCCGTGACAAGTTTATAAAACTTTAACGGTAAACCTTAACCCATTATTGCGTTTAATACTATGGCAGTGGAAACGACCATTTGTACATAGTCAAGCACGTTGTAATTATAATTTGCGGGGGCGGTCACTTATTTGACAGAAAATGTTAATTAAGCATTTTTAATATCAGAGTGTTAAACTATCATAATATAACTACAGGTACATAAATTTACAGATCGAAAGGGTTGAACATTTATTTTCAATTGGTACAGTTTTTTTCCAATTGTCAAAGTACAAATGTTACGGTTCATTCGACTGTATTGTTTGTAAATTTTTTTCATATCTCTTTCGTAATTCGCTGATATCATTCTTGTGAAATGAATCCTCTCGGAGATATGTAGCCAGTCAGACAGCGGAAACGTTTCGCGTGTTCGATGGTGATTTAATTACTGCGGTTCGATAACGTTTAAAATAATTTTTTTCATGGTGTCTTTAATTAAGGGAATTATACTCATCGTCATTAAGAACAAAGAGAAATGAAAGGTATCTACATTGTATCATTCTTTTTTTTTTTTATTCATTAATGTCCGTGAAATTGAAAGATTGCTCAAGTAGAATAACTAGGTTTGCTTAATTACGTTAGATAACCTCTGTGGCGAAAGAATACGAGCGGCTGGTTCTGATAAGTCAG